CCTCAAACTCACAAAGATCCGCCTGCCTCTGCCTCCTAAGTGCTGGGATTAAAGGCGTGTGCTACCACGCCCTGCAAAAAATATTTTTAATTTAAATAATTTTATTAAAATTTTAAATATTTTAAAATCTGTGTGTATGTGACATGGTGTGCCCATGCCTCCATGTGTCTGTAGAGGTCAGAGGACAGTCTCTGGTGTCAATCTTTACCTTGTTTGACCTTGTACTTCTCCTTCTCTGCCCTCCATCTTGCCACTAGACCAGTGGAATTACAGCTACGCTACCATGCCCAGCTTTATGTGGGTTCTGGGGATTTGAACTCAGGGGCTCACTTGCATGTTAAGCACTTTATCCACTGAACCATCTTCCCAAAAACCCGGGTCTGGGATTGTCGGCAATCCTCCTGCCTCTGCCTCCCAAGAGCTGGGAATACAGACATGTACCACCATGCCCAATTAAGAATTTTGTTTGGCAGGGTGTGGTAGTGAGTGCCTTTAATTCCAGCACTCAGGAGCTATAGGCAGGCAGATCTCTGTGAGTTCTAGGCCAGCCTGGTCTACATAGTGAGTTGTGCCACCACACCCACCTTAAAAAGCTTTTTTTTAAAAAAAAAAGTTTTCAGCTGTTTGAAACAAGGCCTTGACACATACAGGCTTTTTAATTTGCAATCCTTGCCTCAGCCTCTGAGTGCTGAGGTTATAGGCATTAGCTACCATTACTCCCAGTTAAGAATTTAGTTCTCTTGGGCTGGAGAGATGGTTCAGCAGTTAAGAGCACTAACTGCTCTTACAGAGGAGCCAGTTCCAGGCGATCCAATGCCTTCTTCTGACCTCTGCAGGCACTGCACAACACTGGTGCACTTATACACATGCAGGCAATACACTCATATACATAAAATAAAATAAAAATTTTTTTTAAAGATTTTAGTTCTCAAAATTTTTTTCTGCGATTCTGATCGTAATAATCAAAATTCAAAAGTAGGAGAGCTAGATGTGATAGCCCACGCCCAGCATTTAGGAGGTGGAGGCAGGAAGATCGTTTGATGACAGCCAGCCTGGGCTACCTAAAATTCCATCTCAAAAAATAAAGTCAGTAGCGATTAAGCTGCAATTTGAATCAGCTTTGACAACCTAATTCCTTTCAATTGTAGTATGTATAAAAACTGACTAAGCAAGTCTTGAAAGTCTGGCAGAGCTATCTTTCAATTAAAGAGGCTAAAGAGTCAGGGGTGGTGGTGGTACACAACTGTAATCCCAGCAGTTCAGGAGGCTGAAGCAGGACTGTGAGTTCAAGGCCAGCTTGGGTTGCAGAGAGTGGCCAGGCCATTCTGGCCTATAGAGACCCTGTCTTAAAAACCAAAATAACAGCAACAAAAATACAAGAACAAAAGCCAAAACCAATGCAAAACAAAAATCTTTAAAGGAAATGTTGTGAAAGATTATCTTAAAAGGCTTAAAATCTCTAGTTTATGCCATTGACCCAGAGGCATTTACAGAGACACAAATTCATTCCAGAAAAGACACACATACTAGCATATGTGGCATTAAAATAAAAAAGCACAATACATAAAATCAAAGCAAAAATGCCAAAAGGTACTTACTAACATAAAAACATTAGTAGTGAAATTTTTATTTATATGTCTTGTTATTGTCATGTTTGGTTTTTTTTTTTTTGCTGCTGGGGAGCAAACCCATCTTTGTAATGCTAGGTAAGCACTCTGCCATTGAGTTGCATCCTCAGCCTATGCAATTTTTATTTAATATAATATAGGTTTAATTTCCAAGTCCTCCAAAATTGGTATAATGTCCCTTTTCAGCTGGTTTCCCCTTTCATTCCTAACTGCTCTTCACCCATCCATACTCTCATCTATTTTTGTATCTATCATTTGCTCGTCTTAAAGGACCCGGATGATGACTTATACCAGGCTATATGCTCAACAAATGCTTCCCACTGTCATCCATTTTAAGTTATCCATATTATTTTCGGCAAAAATAATTTCTAAATTCCATTGTCTCTTCTTAGATTAATAAATATACAAATTAAAAAGGTATACTTTCTCTAAACCACAGGGACACACCCAAGTACCCTTTGTCCAAACCCAGTATAGGCATCTAAGGCCTGCACCACAGGGCCTTGCTGTGTCATGCTGCCACCATGAACAGACATAGGAAGGAGGAATGGTAGTGGATGGAAATGAAAGCTTTTTGGAATCTCCTATGTACCTCACTCTTGGATTTTCCTATTATCCACAACCTTCCCCACTCACTACCCAGAGCAGCAAGTAAGAATTTGCCATCAATCAATAGCTCTTATGACCTACACTGATTACAGTATGTGACCAGGCAATTCCACACAGTGCCCCCCCGCACTGTCCTACATCAAATTTTTTTGGAGCAAATATTTGAGATAGGGAGGAGACTGTTAAAGGTTAGGCTTACTCTCAATAGTACTTCATATTAAAAAAAAAAAAATTACCCCATACCCTACTCCCTCAAAACTCCATCTGAGAAGGGGTGGGGTGGGGGAGTGGGAATGGAAATGCAGGGAAGTAGAGGCTAGACAGATTATAGGAGGAATAAAGATTGGCCAAATAACAGGTAGCAAAAATTATAACCTGAAAAGAGATAACTAGGCTGAAGCTATGAAATGCACTAGACAAAAAAATTACAGGAACATGGATACTTGAAATGCGGTAAGTGCTGAGAAATAATTACATGTAAACTGTTAGAAATTAATGCCTAGATACATGATAAGGCATAGACGGAGATCTTAATGGAGATAAGAATCTGGGAACAAATAACTACCTATTGTTCACAGCGCCCCCTCCTCTCCTTTTGAACTGACCCGCACCCCAGTCTCACCCGGTCTTTCAAGCTTTAGAAGCTGCCCCTGCATCACTGCAGCCCCTGCCCTTCATGCTAGTTACCTGTTATCAATTAATGACTAACGCGGAGGATGAAGAGGGGATTGAGGGGTCGGCTCCGGCCTGGAGAGAAAGGAAGCTGATGGGGATAGACGGCTTTGTCTCCTCACGCCTAGTCTTCTGTGACGGAGACGGTGAGCGTCTCCCCCTGCAATACAGCCCCTCCTAGCACGGGCGGAAGCACTCCCCGCCCCCTCTCTGCCTGACTCGGCTAATTCAAAGGATAGGTTCCGGAACGCGCCTGGAGAGCGGCCGAGCATCTCCATAGGCTAGCTGCACCGCGCCGGTACTCCCCATCCCTTCCAGCACCCCGGTGCTGAGTGGAGTGCAACGAGTGAGCAGCTGTCCTCTCACGTAGATGTATGGAGTCAAAACCCTTCACTCCAAACAGAGTGTAGTGCAAGAACTGAGGGTAGCCAGGGGTTTTGGAGACTCACGAAGGTCTCCGCTCCCCCAGCCCTCCTGGCCTCTGCCCCTCGCGGCACGAGGATCGGTACACTCGGAAGCCGGACGAGGTGTGCGGCGGGGCTCTGAGGCTGCGCCCGGGGCGGCCTGGCTTCGTCCTGCAGTGTCAGCTGGGGAGACCCGGGTCCCCACGGTCCCCACGGTGCAGTGCCGCAGCAGGCCTGGGGGGAGCAGCGCGCTCGGCTCGCAGCCCACAGGTTTCGTAATCGCGTCGCAGCCGTTTCCGCCCTCGGCCGGCCCCACCTCTGCCGGCCCGCCCTCGGCTTCCCCACTGCGCCGAGCAGCAGCCGGGCAACCCCGAGTGGCGGCGCCGGCCTAAGCCCCTGCCAGCCTCTGCCGCCGCCTGGATGCCGAAGAGCCGCAGGTGAGAGCGCCGATCCGGCCCGGCCGCCTCCCCTCCGGGCCGGGCGGGTGCTGCGACGGAGAGGGCGGCGGGATCCAGGCGGCCGGAAAGTCGAGCTGGGCGGCCGCGCAGGCCCAGGAAGCCGCGAGTGGGAGGGAAGCGGCCCCGGCCGTGTGGGGTGGAGTGGGCAACGAGGGGTTCCTCGCGGGCTCCAACCTCAGTGGCTGGCGGGTGCCCAGACACAGTGGGGCTGCAGCCCGGAAGATCCAAGCCAGCTCGAGGCCGCCGCGGAGAACAGTGACCGAGCCTGAAAGAGCCACCGAGGTCCCCAGCCTAGTTCAGGGCTGGGAGGAACAGAGTTCTTGGGTGGGTGGGAGGCAGGCATGGAGGCGGATGGAAAATATTGGGGGAGGGGAAGGTTAGGGCCTCCCTCTGCTTCCTCTTAAGCCCCCACAAGACCTTTCCTGGGGATGGGCAGGGCTGGCGCTGGGACAAATGTCCGTCACGGCTAAAAACGGGGTCCAAGGCTCTCTCCAGGGCCCTGAGCAGCCCTCTCTGTTTGGGGGGTCTTTGCCAGGCACCAGCTGCATCCCTGGGCTTACAGCCAGAATTTGCCCACTCCATTCTCGTCTCTTTTTTTTCCAGCTGCTTCTTGTGAAGGCTTGTCAGACAGCGGGTTGGAGGCCTTGGGGCCGGAGGCAAAGGGACCGGGAAAACCGGTTTGGGGCTACCACAGGACCGGGAACTATGGGGAACTATGTGCATCCGTCCTCCTAGGCTCCTTTCCTCCACCTCTCTCCGGCTTGCCCCTCTACAGCTCTGAAGTTCTTAAGGGCCTGCCGACCTTGGTAGTGGTGTAGGGGGAGGTGTCACTCCAAGTTCTGTATTTCATTTAGAACTGAGAGGGGCCCCATTGTTAGTGCTGCTTAGTGGTCAGGATGTGGTCTTATGCTGTCTAATCCTTGGTCCCTTCTGTTTTTCCCTTCTTTCTCACTGTCGGGTTGAAATAGTGGGCTGCCTCCTCAGCTTGCCAACTTCAAAGCTTCATTTTTCCTCTGCCCACTCGTTGGCTGTTTTAAAGCTCCGTGACAGCCAATGCCTCGTACTTCCTTTTTTGGCTTTGTTCCCCTTCCCCCCACCCTACACTACCACACATTGACCCTGTGCTGTCTCCTTCACACTCTGACCCCTCCCCCAAGTTTCAGAGACCCTAATGGCCTAGGGAATGGAATTTCCTGGTCACTTCTCTTCACCATTGGCCATTTCATGCCAAGTCCTACACACACTTTCCCTCCACCCAGCTTGGTCAGGTCCCTGGAAGAGAAACAGAAACGTCCTTGTTCCTTCTACTGACCCTTTTCCTCTCCCTCTTCCCTCCCCCCAGCACCATCCCCCTCAGTCCACTCAGCTTTAAGCAGGGTAGAGAATGCTGGGGAGAGTCCAGCCTCAGTATGGACTGTCTGGTAGTGTTGGGGGTTTCCTCCAATTCTTTATTGTTTCTCCATTCTCCCCCCAACCTTCACCACCTGCCACCAGCATGACAAACCTTGTGACTGACTTTCCCATTGACCACAGCTCTTCTCTCTGGACAGCTGCATTCTGACTTTCATCCTGATTACTCTTCCCTTCCAGGGGTGGGAAGGGAAGTGAGAGAAAGCTCAGATTCTTGGGTCCTTTCCTATTCTAGAGGCTATTTCACTGCGTGATCTCCTCTCAAGGCTGCTGGGGGAAAGGGGGAAAAACACCCACATACAACTCCATTTTTTTGGTCAGTCTAGGCTACTGGAGCATCAAGGTTCCAGTCTAGAGGGAAAGATCCATTCCTATTCATGCTAATGTTTGGTATTCATGAAGCCGCCCTGTTGGACTCTGAGCTTGTCTGGAGTAGCAGACAGGAAAATGCAATGAACATAGAGGAAACCCAGATGGGCCATACCCCTGCCTGGCAGTAGTGCAAAGGGGAGAAAGTTCTTCTTTGAACACTAGTACCACTGGAAAGTTCCTGTGTCTGGTTCACTGATGAAGCTTGGAAGTGGTGAGGAGGGAGGAGAGAACAGGTCACAGCATGAGGTGAGCAGGGAGGGAGGCCTGGGCCTTAGGGGGTGTGAGACACAGCACTGCACAGGACAAGACACAGGAGACAGGGTGGGGAGGCTGGAAAAATCATTCCTCATGGGACAAAAAAATATTCTACACATTTACCCATACAAGACATGGAGGTAGGGCTACAGATAAGTGCACACACAGAGTATGCAACTTACAGGAAAGACCTCAAGGTTAGGTATTAAAGGAACTCTAATGGTTCTGGGAGGGGTTGGATCTCAGTCAAGGGAAGTAAGAAAGAACAAAAGCATTGAACTGAGAAGGAAAAAATTCCTCACTTCAGAGGTACCTGTTAAGATCCAAACTCAGCCTCCTAATACCTGCATGGTCAAGGAAGGACTTTGTTTTTCTTAAAGAAAATTTAGGTGTTTGGGGCAAGGTAAGAAAAAAGGGAGGGACAGGGTGGAGGCCTTGTTTGTGAGAACAAAAAACCACTATTTCCTCTTTAGAGTCACTTAAATGCCCCTCCCCTTCTGCCCTAGCCCAGAGAGAAGGGAGCTGAAGTTTGCAGCACCCCAAACTTTGTTCATTTGTCACTATTCTTTGAGCCCTGTCTCTCCCTAAGCCCTTCTAGCCTCTCTTCTCCCTCGATGCCAGCAGTCACTGCTCCTTGATGTCCTTTTGGTACTGGTCTTCCTGTACTTGAAAAAGGTCTGTGTTGGGGTACAGCAACAGGGTCTCCAAAAGAGAACGAGGAAGCTGGGGGCTTATCAGAAGTCTTCTGGAGGATAGGGTGGGGTGTTTTTCATTAACTCTACTGTTTTGTTTTGTTTTTTTCTGCTAATTCAGGATTCCACATCTGAAGAAAACATAACCTTATGCCTGCCTGCGCCTCTTGTAGGTGCTGTTTGTGGCTCTTAGTCTGAGACGCTGACCTTCACTGCACAGCTAAGGTCTCGAGGACTTCCACCAACAGACACATCCAGTTGAAGGAATCCAGGGTGCTGTTACACTTGGGAGAGCGAGGACTGGGGGGTCAGCCACAGAGCAAGAGCCCTCTGGGGCCTCTGGCAGTGGAGTGAAGCTGGAACCATCAGGGAATATGAGTGAATTTTGGCACAAACTGGGCTGTTGCGTGGTAGAGAAGCCCCAGCCGGTAAGTCTCCCAACCCCCACCCTACACACAAATTAGTTACCACGTGCTGTGAAGTGGATATGCCATCCCTGACCTGCCTTCTGAAATACACTTTTTTCACCTCCCTCTTGGTTGGGAAAGTGTCTGTGGCCAGGCAGGTGTTCACGTGCAGTAAAGGAGACTGACAAAAGAAGTGAATGGTTCTAGGTGTCACCTGGGTCTGTTTTGAGGTGGAACTTAAGATCTGTCAGTCTTCCCCTCATCAGCCAGTAGCAGTCACTTCAGTCTTCAGGCCCCACTGCTCTGGTGATGTTGTCTTCTTTGTGTTTGTTATTCTAGCATTCTTTCCTACCCTAGTGATTTCCCAATTGTACCGTCAAATCTCACTGCCCCCCCAACTCTTTTTTTTTTTTTGTCTTTTTGAGACAGGGTCTCCCTGAATCCCTAGCTAGCTTGGGACTCACCATGTAGACCTCAAACTCAGAGAGATCCTCCTGCCTCTGTCTCCCAGGTGCTGGGATTAAACACATGTGCCACCACGCCCTGCTCCCCCCTTAACTTTTAGTAGTTTTCAAGACTCTCCCCATTCTTCCATTATGACTGCAAATATGACTCTGTCTTCTCCAAACAGAAGAAGAAAAGAAGACGGATTGACCGGACCATGATTGGAGAACCAATGAATTTTGTCCACCTGACTCATATCGGCTCTGGGGAGATGGGGGCTGGAGATGGACTTGCTATGGTAACAAGGGGAAAAGGAGAGGTTTATATGGGGTGTAGTCAAGCAAGAACTTAATAGAATACTCAGTGAGGAAGTAAAAAATCTGAGATTGTAGTCCTGGTCACCAGTTGTGAACATTTCCTAGCTCTGGGCCTAGGTTCCCTCATCTTCATAATTAATAGTGCTTTTCATTAGAGTGAGGGATACATATGTCTTAGTAGTTGAAGAGCTGCCAGGTGTGGTGGCACATGCCTTTAATCCCAGCACTTGGGAGGCAGAGGCAGGCCAATCTCTAAGGTTCCAGGCCAGTTAGGGCTACAGGGAGATCCTGTCTCAAAAAGACCAAAAAAAAAAAAAAAAAAAAAAAAGTTGAGCCTTTTCTGAAACCATGACTCTTCCTTCTCCTGATTAAGAATTGTCAAATCAGGGCTGGAGAGATGGCTCAGCGGTTAAGAACACTGGTTGTTCTTGCAGAAGAACTGGGTTTGAATCCCAGCACTCACTTGGCAGCTAACAACTGTCTATAACTCCAGTTCCAGGGGATCCAATGGCCTCTTCTGTCCTCTGAGGGCATTGCGTGACATGGGTGTACTTAACCTACATGCAGGCAATACACACATACACATAAAAATAATAAATATTTAATCCCAGCACTCGGGAGGCAGAGGCAGGCAGATCTCTGTGAGTTCAAGGCCAGCCTGGTCTATATAATGAATTCCAGCCTCCCTCCCCCAAAATAAAACACCAAAACCACCCAGATTTCACTAGGTGTGGTAGCACATGTCTTTAATCCTAGCATTCAGGAGGTAAAGCCAAGTGTAGTAGTTTTAACACACCTATAATACCAGCACTGGGGAGACATCAAGTTTGAGGCCAACCTGGGATTCATAGTGAAAATCTTTTTTTTTTTTTTTTAATTTTTATTCTATGTGTAAAAAAAAATAGTAACTGATTCATTTTACCTGGGCTTCATGAAGGGTGTCATTGAGACTTCCCTAAGAGGAATTGGTAGTCAAGTTTAACCTTTTCAGATGGATGTCATTGCCTAAAAAGAGAGAGTCAATCCCCTCCTGGAGGAGGTGGGAGGGGCACAGGGTAGATTGTTTCTGTAGGATGTGAAGAATTGGGTTGTTAGTCTGATGGGTGTTTTCAACAGACAGGTGCAGTCTTCATGAAGGGTGTCATTGAGACTTCCCTAAGAGGAATTGGTAGTCAAGTTTAACCTTTTCAGATGGATGTCATTGCCTAAAAAGAGAGAGTCAATCCCCTCCTGGAGGAGGTGGGAGGGGCACAGGGTAGATTGTTTCTGTAGGATGTGAAGAATTGGGTTGTTAGTCTGATGGGTGTTTTCAACAGACAGGTGCAGTTCAAGAGCAGATGAGATCCAAGGGAAACCGAGACAGACCATGGAGCAATTCTAGGGCCTTGTAGCTCCTGTGGGAACGGTGAGTAACTAGAGAAACCCTCTTCATACTGTGTGTTGATGCCAACATGTCCTGATGCCTTAGAACCTTAATTCTCTGATGCAAAAATGAGAAGAGGGTTGGAGGAAAGGGTTAGACTGGATAATTCAAGAACATAGGGTCAAAGAATGTAGGCTCCTCTCTTTGAGTTCGAGGCCAGCCTGGTCTACATAGTGAGTTCCAGAGCATCTAGAGCTACACAGTGAGACCCTCTTTCTCAAAAAAAAAAAAACCAAAAACAAAGAAAAACATGGGATCTAGGCTAGAAATTTTGGCATCTGCCTTTAACCCCAGCACTTGGGAAGCAGAGGCAGGTGACTTAGCTCATGCCAGTCTGGTCTACCTAGTATGTTTAAGGTCAGCTGGGACTACATAGTGAGGTCTGTGGCACAAGCCTTTAATCCCAGCACTTGGGAGGCAGAGGCCAGCCTGGTCTACATAGTGAGTTCCAGGACAGCTGGGGCTACAGGGAGACCCTGTCTCAAAAAGACCAAAAAAAAAATTATTTGGTCAGGTACAGTGGTCCATGCCTCTAATCCTAGCACTTTCATAGGAGGATTGCTGGGCATTTGAGACCAGCCCAGGTTATACTGTAAGATCTAGACTAAAAACAATTTTTTTCTTTGCAATTCAGGGTCAGCAGTCTTGGAGTCCCCACTCTGTCCAGCCCAGGAGAAATGCTGCTCCCACCAGATCCCTTCTACAGCCAGTGACCCATGGGCCCCTCTCTTCCCTGTCTTCCTAACAAGTGCCTCAAAAGGCATGGGGGCTGGACTCCCTCTTCTCCCTCTGGCCTTGGCCCCTCCTGGAGATGGGGTTAAGGCAGCAGGACTGACCAAGTGACTACTGGTGGGCCAGAGGACCTCAGCTGAAACCCTGGGTACCCTATATCTGAGCTGGGAGGTCTGTGGGAACCTGCAATGAGTTCCCTGCTCCTCAATGAAGGTTGGGGTACTACCTGTTTTTAATCTTTTTACCTTTACTCCTTAAATTGGGCAGGTAAGTGAGAGCACCAAAGCTGAACTCAGCTTTGATGAGATGCTCTCTACTTTTCTACCTTCTCTTTGCTTCTGGAATGAGTTAGTGCAGATGTTACAGGGCTGGTAGGGTGACCACTGCCTAGTCCACTCTAGATTTCAGACATTAAGCTCACAGCCCCTCTATGTCTGTCTGCCAGCACCAGGGTGTTAGTCCAGTTGGGCCTCTAATCCTGTGTTTGTAGCATTACTAGCTTCCCAGCAACTTTTTTTTTTTTTTATTAAAATTTTAATTTAAGATGAGTTCTTTTAATTACCCCCATCCTTCTACCTTTGTCCTTATACCATCCCTGTTAGGAACCATATTATTCTCCGTTGAAGAGTTAAGAAGTGGATCTTACTTTGACCACATTCCATTTAAGACTTGGGAGTCCTAGCCTACCCCTCTGTCAACCTCCCTGCTGGTCCAGGTAAAAGGAAGAAGAGGATCTATATATAGGAAGCCAGGATGTAGCCAAATTAGCTATATCTCGATGTGGCCCTTCCTAATCATTTGAATGGGGCAGTGGTAAGAGAAATCCCACAGTCCTCCACAGGCATAGGGAGAGGCTATAAACAAGCCTTTTCAACTTTGGACAATTTGGTCTGGTTAATTCTTTGTATTGGAGGACTGTTCTTTGTATTATAAGATACAACATCTCTGGCCCACCCTAGTTGACAACCAAAAATGTCTCCAGAAATTGCCAAATGTCTCCTAGGGACAGAATTGCCCACCGTTGAGAACCACAGCTCTAGAGTCAAGATAGGCTTTTCCTAAGTGTTTTCTGCACTGCCCCCACCCCCACCCCCCAATCTGATGTATTCATTTTAAGCTTGAGCAACTAGCACCCTCATAGAGGCAGGCTCAGAGTGGCATGTAATCTATTCAGATGTGTTGCCTAGGCTTACATGGGTTCGAGTCTGACAGATATGTATGATGTTTCTTCATTGTTGGCTCTGTGTAAGAGGGTTCTTGGCAGTGTGGAGAAATGAACAGGGTATGCTGGGATTGGAGAAGTGGGAATCAAAAGCAGCAGAGACACCCTAACTTGCTGTCCATGTTATAAGCTCTTCTTCTCTGTGTCCTAGTCCTTGAACCAGACACAAATAAGACTCAGGGAGTTTTGTTGGAAAATCAGGTCCCACTCCCCACCTGGCTAAAGAGTCTGTTTTTAGAGGGGAAAGAATTGTAGGAGCAGAGTCTTTAGTCCCTTTGTTTTCTCAGGTGTTTTTTGTTCTGGCCCTTTCCTTGTAGGGTAAATAGAAAGGCAGAACAAGATAGATGGGCTCCTGCCTGTTCCTAAAAAATAAGGCCGGGGTCTCTTTAGCTTTGTTAAAAGAAGTCTTTATGGTAATGGATCAGGACTGTGGGAACTGATCCACTCTTGCTGATTCCACCATCCATCTGGTTACCCCTACCTAGTGATTGAGGTTTTGATTTTTTTTCAAAGCTTAGTGTACTTCCTATAGTTTTTCAGGGTCTAAGATTGGTTACAGGGGTACATTTCCTATTTACTTTGAGTTCTAGTCAATCTGGTTTCTCTGAAAGTAGCCTATCCTGTTACCCTGAAGGAGCTCAGTGGTTTGATGTTATGCTGAAATGCTTGCAGATGCCTTGTGGGCAACAGGTGTCTGAGGATGGCTACGAATGCAGTCCAATACATTTGTAGATGACAATATCATGTCACAGTGGTAAAAGGTTGGACACCCCTGCTGGGTTAACAGGCTAGGGTAGAAAGAACTCCAGCCTCATCATCCTGGAAACTATTCTTTGGACCCAGTCATCCCGTTGGTGCTCCCCTGCCTTGAGCTACCTTCTCTAATGCATATACTACCATCACTTAACAAGGTGATTGGAATGGGTTTGAGAGTCATAATTTATATTAAAAATTCTTGGACTTTAAAATGCATTTTTCAAATAAAAAAAATTAAGCAAAATAGTTGTAATCACTATGTAGAAGAAGTGTGTGTGGGGGTCAAAGGATAGAAATGGCTGATGAACATAGCTTTGAAAGTGACTAAGATGGGTGAAATTTTATACTGACGTTGCTTTTTTCTGAAAAGAGGGTGAAGTACTGGAAAGGCAGGGAGAATCCACTGCTGTCTACCAGGCCTTAGCTCCCTGCTCTTCCTGTTGAGAATGAGGAAAATCAGCAGCATGAACATTTTATCCTGGGGACAGGGGAACAAGCTAAAGGCTGCTGGCTATAAAGTCCCTGGAGTAAAAGGCACAAGACCAGTGCTGCAGATGTAGCTCAGTGGAAAAGTAAGCGCTTTTCCTGGCATGTGCAAAGCCCCAGATTTGATCCCATCACCAGCCTAGAAAAAGAGACCAAAGTATATTTTTTTGTTGTTTTATTTTTTCTGTATTAAAAATATATAATGGATGCTGGGGTTGAAAAGGGAGGTTAAGATGCAGATAACGCCTCTTGAGGGTGACATGGCCGTTACCTCTGGGATTTTTCTATCTGGGTAAGGCAAAGAAGAGAGGAAATTACAATCACATCTACATTTTTTTTGACCAATTCTTTTTTTTTTTAATGTATTTTTATTTTATGTGTATGAGTATTTTGCCTGCATGTGTGCACATGTATCATGTGCATGTAGTACTCCTGTAGGCCAAAAAAGGGGGATCGGATTTTCTGGAACTAGAGTTACAGGTGGTTGAGTTGCCATGTGGGTGCTGGGACCTGAACCTGGGTCCCCTGCAAGAGCAGCAAATGTTCTTAGCTGCCAAGCCATCTCTGTAGCCCCTATGTCTATACATTCTTTGCCTTGCTTTATCAACTCCCCTTCAAACCCTCGTTTCCTCAGCCCTACTGCTGTGTGTATGGGTGTATATGTGTATGTTTCATGCCTGCGTGTGCACACTCGAATGCCTGTTCACATGTATGCCAGAGGTTGATGTCTGGTGTCTTTCTTAGTCCACTCTACTTACTAAAGCAAGGTCTGTCACTGAACTAGGACCCGTGTATGCGTGGCTTTTATGTGGGTGCCTAGGAATCCAAGGATCTAAACTCCAGCCTTCATGCTTGCATGGTAAACACTTTACCCACTGAACCATCTCCCCTAGCACTGCTTTGAGACAGGTTTTCCCTATGTAGCCCTGGCTGGCTTGGAATTTGCTGTATAGACTAGGCTGGTCTCCAACTCCCAGAGATCCATCTGCCTCTGCTGGGATTAAAGGCATGCACCACCATGCCCAGGTCCCTCTTTCTTTTTGAGTCTTGCTATATAGTTCTGGCTGATGTCAAACTGACAACAATCTTCCCTTCTCAATCACTGTACCTGGCTGTAAAGACTTAATGCATAGATAATGGATATGGAACATACTGACTGAGTAGTATTTTGGGGTTTTGTTGTTTTTGTGAGTTGGTCTCACTATCTAGACCAGGCTAGTCCCAGACTCTCAGACATCTGCCTGCCTCTAACTTCCAAGTGCTGGGATTAAAGGCATGCACCACTATACCCAGCCTGATTCATATAGTTTTGACTCATTCATTTTAACTGTAGCAGCCAATACTAAATATGCTTTACTTGGATCAGTCCTCACCTTATAAGGTGTCCTCATGCTACAGATGAAGAAACAGGTTTACCAAGCTAGTAAGGGCTGGGGGTGTAGCACAATGGTCTTCTTGCCTAGTATGCACGAAACTGTGGCAGTTACTAAGATTGAAACCACTTTTGACACCAGTGCCCATGTTTAGGGATTCTACTCAGCAACTTAATTCTCAAAGTTACACCAGCCCATCTTGCCTTACCAAGAGTCACCAAAGGTTCAGATTGACTTGATGACAGTCTCTGTTGCTAAGGATGACAGGGAGTGGGAAAAGACAAATAGACAAAGGGCATACTCGGTCATTTCACTAGTTTGTTTTTCTCCTTGTACGTCCAATTCTATTTTGAATATAAAGACAAGGAACTCGGGGCCTGGAAGATGTAGCTCAGTTGTTGAGTGCTTACCTAGCATGCTCAAGGCCCTGTGTTTGATCCCCAATGCCTCATCAACTGGGCATGAAGGAGGCAGAGGCAAGCAGATCCCTGTGAGTTCAAGGCCATCCTGGTCTACATAGCAAGTTCAGGCCAGCTAGGGCTACAGGGAGACCCTATTTCAAAAAGATAAACCAGAGAGAGATAGAACCCAGCGTTTGGTTCCCAGCACCCACGTGGCAGCTAACAACTGTCCATAACTCCAGTTCCAGGGGATCTGAAGCCCTCTTCTGCCCTCTGGGCATTGCACAACATGGTGCACTTGGATGCAGGCAAAACACTTGTATATATA